GTCATCAATGTCCTCATCACAAATCTCTATGATTTATGATTTGGTAGCGTGAACCACCTTGAACAGCGACGACGACTGCAACTTCACTTATCAGTCTCTATCAGTAGTTATCGCTTCCAGTCACCCAGATTCATGTCCTCATGTCACCCTCTATATCACTTGCTGAGACGTACGCCTCGCTGATGCTGTGACCTGCGCTGTGAATACGATGACCTCACCATTCTAACGCCCCTTATCGAATCTTATCAGCAGCTTACAGTTCTTGTCACCCACCAATAATGTTCTTGGCCCATACCCTATATCATATCTTGGAATCAAGAGCTAGCTGATGCTGTCACCCGCGTTATGAATATGGTGACCTCCCTTCTAACGCCTCTTATCGGATCTTATCAACTGATATCACTTCCTGTCACCCACCAATAGTGTTCCCGTCACACCCCCTACATCACTTCTTGGAACCAATGTCTCACTGCTACTGGGACCGGCGCTATGAATTTCGTGACAAACAGACAGACGCACACACACGGACATAGCGGATTATATAAAGTAGGATATTTGGAGTGAATGAGGGAATATTGTTTCAGTGCAAATGCCATGCCAAAATGGACTGTGTGATGGCAGGCTACGATTGAGTTACGTAATTTGGAGTGCGATCTATAAATGAAAGCGCCAAGTACACGAAGAGAGAGCAAGTCCTGTCAGAAAAGATCATTCAGTACTGGAGTTCATTCGCAACGACAGGGTGAGCAGCTTTGAAGGCAAGGTCCGCGACAAACCAAGGCTAGAATGTCTTGAAATGCAGTTATGAAAGTAGGCAGCCCACAGAGGTTGTGCTACGTTAAGAAAGTGAAAACGAGGAAAAACGTGCAGGACGGGCAGGTTCTAGCCCATGAGTGCCCAACAGCTATGCCACAATTGATATTGAACCATCTCATGCTAAGTGCCTGTGACCACGAGTCAAATTGCGATGAAAGAGAGTCTTATTGGGGGCGGGCGGGTTTTTGGTGGCTTCTCCTCTTTAGTTATCCAAATTAGTAACGGCAAATCCCTTTGAAACTGTATTATACTCGAAATCCCTGAGATCGGGTAGGCGTGGCTGCGTACTTGATTTTAAAATGGACGGCGGCCCAGGTTTTCTTGAGATATTGTCATTTTGAGAGCAGTCGTAATCATGTTCCCACATCTAACACAGAACAAGATACGCATTGTTTTAAAATTGAAGTATCCTAAAACCGGAAAAACCCGTCCTTGTGCCGTGCTTAAAAGCCAGCGCTACTCCCGTCTTAGGGATAGGAGTGGTACCTATGATGTGCAGACGCGGAAATCGCCTTTAAACGCAGCGACCACTATTCAGATGAAACAGCCTACTGTTTAGGGTTCCTCGTCTGAAAGACGCCAAGTCAACCGACATCTGGCCAGAATACGATGGTGTCAACAATACGAGGTAAGTATTAGTTGGTATAATCGCAATCAGTCTTCAATTCTACTGAAGCTTGTATAAAAGCATACGTCATCGGCCCATTAATAGCGTGTTCGCAAATATGGAGCCCTCATACTAAGAAGCTCCAGGCGAAAATCGAAAAGGTGCAGCAAACTTTCACGAGAGTTTTGATGTATCGTTGTTTTCCCGATCCTGAGTATCCGCATAGTATGCCTAGCTATCAGGAGCGCCTACACATTTTCAACCTCAAATCACTGATGCATAGAAGGGTGTTCAATGATATTATGTTTTGTTTCAAGATACTGAAAGGAGAGCTTAGGTTGAAACCCAGTAAATACTGGGTGTTCAGACCGACAAATGGTCGCACCTCCTCGTTGTCCTTACAATGTCCTAAACTGTGCAAGGGCCACCGAACCAGAGTTTTCAACTCACTGTTTTCCGTGGAGCGAGGTATCTCCAAGTTACTTCCATCAGACCTGCTGGAGGCGCCTAACACCTACACGTTCAGAAAGAGACTAAAGAAGGTCGATCTGATGACCTTGCTAAGCATTCAGGATTCCTGAATCCAGTAGTTTAGTGAAGTCTTTCCTCGGTTGCTTTGTGTTACCGAAATTTTTTTATGGTAATCGTATTTTTGGTTGTTCTATTACTCTAAGCCTATCGCTTGTATGCTTAGCGCACCTATGCGTGCATGATAAATAAATAAATAAATAAATAATAGCAATGAGTGC